CAGGAGGTTCTTCAAGGGAAGTGGACTCCCTAGCGAGGACCCCCGATGCCTGGCTCTGTGCTGATGTCGTGTTCAGCTGTGTGTCACCGCCGGACAGGGACACCGCGCCCCACAAGGCTTTCGAGGGTTCCGGGAGGGGTTCTATGACAAGCAGGATGGCAGAGGCCGCCCAGGAAGCACGAGGGGCACGGAAGTCCTCTGCCTGTTGAGGGGCCCACCTGTCCCCATGTGGATCCTGCGCGGGGGCTTCAGTCTGTTTCAGATGGCCTGTGGCCGTGTATGGGCTCCTCGGCACCTGCAGCCATGTACGAGGGATGTCTGTCCGCCTGTCGGATCTCAGCTGCAGGCAGCCTCGCCTGGCTGTCCTCCCCCATCCTCCCCTAGGGGCCCTGAGGTATCACCTATCACCCCATATACCGGAGGAGGTACCCGGAGCATCCCCCTTGGGCAGCTGAGGAAACGGAGGCTCACACAGGTCACTGGCTCGCCTGTGACTCAGAGTTGTACGGGGACGTGGGTGTCAGGTGTCCCCACCCACCCGCTTATCCTGATGCCGGGAGCCCGGTGCCTGGTTAACAGTCCTGACGTGGGGAGGTCTCCAAGGGGCAGGATAGGAGTTGGACACAGGTACAAGGCAGCACTGTGTTGACACACGGTACCCCAGTGACCTTGTGTGTTCGCCCCGGCTGGTGTAGGGGACCGGGACCCCCGTGCGGACCCCAGTACCCTGGGGTGGTGTCCTTTCCTGCTGTGTGTGACCGTAATGTTGGCCCCATCTGCTTCTGAAGGGCTGTGAGGTGGGGTGAGCCCGGGGAAAGGGAGCAGCCCCCTGGAGAAAGCAGGGATTCCCCCAACGGAGTGACAAGGGTCCTGGCCCGGAGGAACCTGATCGCGGCTTTAGCCACCAGATGCCTTTGCCGGGGCCGGAGCTGTTCTGAGCCTGGGCCCTCCCCTCCACCCACTCCGCTCCAACCCCAAGAGCCGGGGTGAAGTGTCCCCAGCGTGCGGGCTGCAGAGGCCCCATGGGGCTCTGGGAAGGTCAGGACCCTGTGGCAGGACGGGAGGAGGGAGGGGACGATTGTCCCCAGAAGAGCAGTGCCTCAGCCTCCGGAGGCCAGGACCGCAGCTGTGGCCGGGCACGAATCCCAGGAATGCAGTGGCCCCTGACCTGGGAGGGGACACAGGTCTTCTTGGAGTTCTCTCCTGCCCCTTGGGGTCAGTACTGTGGGCCTCACTGCCTCCCTCCAGGTGACCAAATGACCCAGCCACTCTGCTCTGGGCCCCCGGCCTGCAGGCATGGATGGGACCTGGGGCAGCTCCCTCCCCACCCCCCACGACAGCCTTGGTGGGCAGAGCAGGCGTGGACAGGCGGAGCCACCCCAGCCTGAAGAATGGGCCCCGAGGCCGGGCTGCCCCCCAATAACAATGGCAGCCACTGCTGTTGATTTTGAGCCTCTGCCCCCTCACCCCAGCACACAGCAGAGATTTTGCACCCCACCCGACAGTGAGGATGCTGAGGACAGAGCAGGGTCCCCATGCCCCTGTCTGCACTAACCTGGCCTCCATGCCTGAGACTCCTGCTGCCAGCTCCGGGCTCAATGCAGAAAGGACAGCAGGGCTCAGGCGGCACAGGAGGTATGGGCACAGGAGCAGCCGGAGGGCCATACATGAACGAGGACACTGGGACGCACTGTCTGGCATGGAACAGTGGAGGGGACCAGGAGGCTGCGGCCAGGGGCAGACTGCAGGGGTCAGCAGTAGACACACTGCAGTTACCACAGAAAGAGAGACAGGAGAGGAGGCACAGGCGGCCTGGCGGTCTGCACTCTCCCTGAGGCTGGGGACCCTGTGGGGAGGAAGGACCAGCCAGGAGCATGACAGCCGGGTCCCATCCATGCCCCAGAGGCTGTGCCCATAGCCCTTGGCTCCCAGGGCCTGCCCTTGCCCTCAGGCCTGGGGAGGCCTCAGGATGCCTGCTGTCTGCCCAACAGCTGCCCACCCCAGACGCTGTCCCAGTGCACCAGGAACCAGGGGTGTCGGCTGCTCGCCCCCCGACGCAGGTGCCTGCATCCTTCCTGGAGTGCTGTGTGCCAAGGGAGGGCTGTCTCTTGTAAGGGGCTTTAGAGCCGGGATGGCAGGGCTGGGAAGCAGCCGGCCTTGCCTAGCACAGCTCCACTGGTCCCCAGTCCCCTGTGCACAGTAAGGGAAGGCCCCCCAGCTTCTGGCGGTCTGGCGGACGTGTCCCAGGCCCGGCAGCTTGCTGTGGAATGGAGCAGGAACTAGAGGGCTGGTGCAGAGCACAACTGAGCTTGCTGCACCTGGCAGCCCTGCTCAGAGCTTTGGTTGGTTTCTGTGCTTACAGCGTAGACCCTCAAGCTGCCTTTCACCCTGGGGCATGTTCCCATGGTTCTGCTCCGTCCCTTTTGCCATGTGGGGCAAAGGTGGGATCTGTTTCCTTGGTCAAGGGGCAGCTTGGAAGTAGAGGATGCTAAGAGGTCATTCACCCGGTGTTCCCATTGTCCAGATGGGGATGCGGAGGCCCTGTAAGTGGGGTGGTGGTGAAGACTCCTGCTCCCCAGCTGTTTTCTCCCTTGGGCCTTGGGCATTTGCTTCATACAGGCTGAGCCAGCACTGGCCCCTCTGGAAGCAGGTGCCTCCTGAGCACAGTGAGCTGTCGCCCTGGTGGCTCTGTGTCTATGCCACAGCTCCCAAGGATGCTCGGCACTCTGCCTCCTGCCCTAGCTCCGGTGACAGCTCCAGATAGGACACACAGCGGGAGGTGAGGTTCCGTGGGGAGAAGAGAGACTTCCGGCCCTGCAGGTGGGGTGCACACGGGCCGCACCTTGCCAGGCTCCTGGCCTCAGATCAGGACCTGCTGGCCCAGGGAGAGGCAAGTGGCACCCTGCTGCCTCAGCCCTGCCCCTCACCCAGATAAGGCACTTCTGCTTCTGCCCTGGAATGCAGATTGGTCAAGGTCAGCGGGCTGGTGCCGAGGGCCGAGGGAAGCCTGTCCCTGCCCGGGCTCAGCCCAGGCACACACTGGAGTCTCCAGGGCAGCCCAGGCCCCGCCCCCAGAGATGTCGATGTGCTGAATTCCCAGACCACCGTGTCCAGCAGGGGTGGTGCTGTGCCCTGCCCTTGTGGGAGGGAGGCCGAACTGTTCACGATTTAGAAACCAGTTGCTCTGCCAGACAACTGGGCAGCTGGGAAAAAGCACTCAGTGAGGGGCTAGGTTGTTCCTGCACTGAGCACCCCACTTAGTTTCAAAAGCAGGAGAGGCCACGCAGTCAGGCGCAGCAGTGGACGCCCATCCTCTCAGCTCTGAGAGGCCGAGCCCAGAGGATTGAAAGTTTGAGCCCAGCCTGGGCAACTTAGTGAGACCTTGCTTCAAAATGAAAAATTTTTTTAAAAAGGAAAGCTGGGAACATAGCTCAGTAGTAGCACAGGGGAGAAAAACAAAGCAGGCAACTCGACTTGTGGGAATTTGGCTGAATGAGGCCTTGGCTGCTCCCAGAGCCTGAGCTGTTATCTGTGGGGGTGCTGAGAGCCGGGGGACCAAGGCCTGCAGGAGCATGGTCTGGCGGCCCTGTGCTTCAGGGGGATGTGGACAGCCCAAGACGGTGACGGGAACCGAGCCCAGAAGGCAGGGGCCAGGAGGGGACCACAGGAAGTGGTTCCCACGGAGACCCTGCGTCTCCACACCTGGGCAGGATGGAGCCCCGTTATGCTGAGTCCCCGGGCCACGCCTGGCTCCCCCGCAGGGCCTGGGGTTGCTGACTGCGGTCCAGAGCTGCCCCCGGCACGCTGTGGGCACTGGGATTTCAAAGTGTGCCAACCTCAGCGGTGGCCCCCGGGCTCCGGAGGGTACTGAGACCTGGTCCATGTGGGTGGGGCTCCAGAGGGTCTACCAGGCTTCAAGGCTTGAGACCTCAGCCCCTGCACTCCTCCTGAGCAGCCCCCGCCGAGGGTGGCGCACACTGAAGCCCCCGTACCTGGAATCCCTGGAGTTCTCCCCGGCACAGAACCAGGGCCCCCGCTGCTGCCGTCCCAGGACTCCTCCCGCCCCCGTTGATTTAGTGGCTGGAGGGTGCAGCCGCGCAGGAGGGGCGGGGCGCTGGGCGGTGGTGGGGGCGGGGCACTCTCTTCCCGACGCCCCCCCCCCCCGGAAAATACAAAAGAGAAATGCACCAGTGCCCGGATCCCCAGCCCCAGCCCCGCGGGAGGAGAAATGCCCCCAATTAGACGCTCTCCTTCTGCAAACTCGATGCCTGGCACTTGAACTGTCACGGCAGAGCCTTAATTAGCAGCGCGGGGGAGAGGTCAGGCGCGGCGCGGTGCTGACTGCGCGTTCCCGGTGCGGGAGGCGGGAGGCGCTGTGGCCCCGCCCGGCCCTCCCGGCTCTGCCCAGCGGGCGGGGCTCATAGCTTGGGTGACCCGGCTCCACACTGCTGTCCCCCCCCCCCCCCGCGACACCCACCGCGGCCGCCCGCCCGTGACCCCCGGCCCGGCCTGGGCCCGACCCTCTGCCGCGAAGCCCCTCCCAGAGTCGCTGGCCCCGCCAGGGTGGCAGCATGCTGGGCTTGAGGACCTGGTCATCCCTGCTCCAGGATCTCAGTAAGTGCCCAGCCCAGCCGGGAGGGACAGGGAAGGACGAGGTGGTGCCCTCGGGCCGCCCCTCCCTCCGCGGACCCCCCAGCCCGGGCACGTGGTGCTGGCTGCCGTCTCGCAGCCCCATCCTCTGTCACGAAGGAAGCTGACATGGCGCGCAAGGTCTGACTGCCCAGGTGAGGACTGCCTTCACACAGGCGCTGCCTTGCCTGGGCCTTCGGCACCCGAGGCTGGGGCAGAGGGGCCGGCCCTGGTGGGCCCCCTTCCGCGGGGGAACCAGAAGACTGAAATTCGGGAGGCAGCAAACGGGGGCAGGCATTTCTTCCCTCCTACTTGCCAGAGGGGACTTGGGGTGGGATCGGGGTCTTGAACCCTGTCTCACCGGGACTCACCTGCTCCCCAGCTGTCCTGCACCTTGGGCCGTCGGGGTGGGATCTTCGTGGCACCTGGCCAGGACCTGGCGTGGCTGGTACCTGGTTAGGTAAGGTGAGGGAGGGGGTTGTGGGGCCAGTGCCCAGTGGTACGGGTCAGTCAGGGCGGGACAGGCCACTGAGGTCCTGGTCCAAGGGGCTGGCAGAGCTGGTGGGCAAAGCTCTGATACCGAGGTCCTGTGGCAGCACTGTGATGGCAGGATGCTGGGGACGCGTCCCTCCCGTGTCAGGCCGGGCATCCTGCCCTCCACCTACCTACCAGCCTCCTCTCCCAAGTGGGTCTCCTGCCTGTGGCCTCCACCTGCCGCCCAGCTCTGCGTGGACCTCAGTCCTGTTTGAACTGCAGCTTTGAAAGCTTTTTGCCTTTTGAAAACTCGGTGTGGTAGGGGAGAGCGTCATTTGTGGAGAGGTGGTGAGCAGTTGATGATTATAGGGCAGTGGGTAGAAAGAGCTTAAAACAAATCCCCATCCATCAGATGTGGGCTTACGTGGTTTCCAGGCTCTTCTGGGGGCCGGGTTGGGGGCAGCCGCATAAGGGGGTGGCTTTTCCCTTTGAGCCAAGCTAATCTACAAAACTCTCCCTTATTTTGGTGTTTGATCACTGCTTCCTTCTGCCTGGCACCCTCTGTAACCCTTCTTTGAGTGCCTGGCTGGTGGAAGGACGCCCTGGCGTGCCCAAAGGCCTCTCTCCAGCTGTGACCTTGACCCAGTCACGTGGCATCTCAGAGCCCCAGTTTCCCCAGGGTAGATGGGAGGATGGTCGTGAAGCCTCCTGTGTGTGCCTGGCTGGCCATGTTCTGGATTCCTGTCCCTGTGCCACCTGATCCCTGTCCAGGTGTGGAGCTGGCTGGGCCTCAGTCCGTGCCCAAGCCCAGCCTGAGGGCAACGAGGAGCTCATGGAGGCCCCAGTCGGTTGGGAAGCACCAGACAGGCCGCTGGCAGGCGTGGTGGGGGCCCTGTATGCCCATGCCGTCCTCACCTGTGGTCACCTGCGGCCTCACCTGGAGGGAGATGCCCGCTTCCTGCCTGAGTTTCTGCAGGTCAGGGAACAGGGTGTCTGGGCTCAGGGTCACAGCTAGGGACGAGATGTCCTCAGCCACTGGCCACCTCTTCCTCAGCTCTGGAGAGAAGGTCCTCCGTACCACCTGCAGTCTAGGGTGGCCCCGCAGTGCCCGCAGGCTGGAGCAGGCTCAGAGCCTTCCCACAGCTCTGCGGCCAGGATCTCAGGCCCGGCCCCAGGCAACCGTGACTTGTAGTGCACGTCTGCGAGAGGAGAGGCCGTGTGACACCAGGGGACCTAGCCTTGCCGAGTGCTTTCTGTTTCTGCGCATCCCCTGCGTCCCCCACCACAGACCTGCCTGCCGTTTCACCCCTCCACACCCAAGGCCAAGCTCCTCCTCACCTTGGAGTCTCCCTCGGTGCTGAGTATGCAGTAGGTGCCCAATAAATGCTTGGTAGAGGAGTAGACATCGAGCATTTCCTGGCCAGTAGTTGGATGTTGGTTCCGTCCCCGGCTTCTCAGGAATGGCTGTGCTTGGATAACTTGGAATCACATCCAAAGTCCGTATGGACCCCTGGGGACACCTTTCAACAACCCCCGTCCCCCTAGGATGCCAGGGATGAGTCAGTCCCTGCCCTGCCGGCTGGCTTTCCCAGGGGAGGCAGGTCTGCGTCTCTGTGACAGTAGCCAGCTGCGGGAGTGCTCCAAGGGGAGCCTCTGGGCGGCCAGTCTCAGTCAGGTCAGGCGTGGGGAGGACACAAGGTGGGCGTCCCCAGGCCGGGCCAGGGCAGCCCCAAGATTGCTGGCCTGCCATGCAGGGCAGCAGAAGGGAGGATCCTCCCCTGTGCCTGGGAATGCAGCCTGGGCTAGTGCGTGTGACCTTCCCAGAGGGGGAGCAACCCCAGGCCCCAGAGAGCTGGCCTTGCTGTGGTGCTGGGTGGGGGCCAAGCCAGGCTCTGGCCCTGAGAATCCACGGTGTCCAGGGCCCCGGCGGTGTACAGGGATAGCTGAGCTTGCTGGTAAACTCTGCAGATAGGCCCAGGTGGCCAGAGCTCTTCCCGGGACAGACTGCTGGGGGTGGCCAGAGTTGGGATCATTTCTGCCTTCATGGTCAGCACATAAACCGGGCAAACCATTGCCAGTTTGCAAGAAGAAGGCTGGCTAGAAATGCTGGGGGATGGGCCGGGGAAGGACTGGGACCGTGGGGGACAGTGGGGTCCCCGGAAGTGCACAGGCCCCTGCTGGCCAGCGGGGGACCTGTGTCTCCACACAGCCAGTGGGAATGCAGGGCTGGAGCTATGTGGCCTGGTTCTCATCCTGGACCTGTCTCTTACCCCTGTGTGCCCTTGGGCAAGATGCGAGCGAGCCTCTCTGTAGCCGTTTCCCCGTTTGTGAGAGGGGAACAATAAGAGCACCCGTGTCGTGCAGTCACTTAGCACTGGGAACAGTGAACTTGAGACGGTGGTCCAGAGCAGGGACATGGCGTTGGCTTGTGAGTCAGGTGTAGCCAGCAGCCACAGGCATGGGCTCCCGCAGATCTGGTTGGACGGGAGCTGGACTGGGGGCTCTCATGCTCTGGCTCCTGCCTGGCTGGCACAAGTGTCCCAGAGAGACCAGAGGCCCGTGGCCTTTGCTGACCCCACGTCCGGGGTCACACCGCATCTCCTGCCTCGGGGCAGGGTGGTAAACACGTAGAAATGGGGGTGCGTGAAGAGGGTGCAGCATGTTCCCGACCGTGCTCCAGCGGCTGGGCTGCGGGCCAGGTACCTGTGAGTAGGGTGGGCACAGGGCCACCGGTGACCCACATGTCTGTGCCCCGGGGTCTGAGGACCCCGACAATGGGGACATCCTGCGGGGACAGGGAAAAATCCAGAGCCATGGGCCAAGCGTATCTCTCTTGGGGTCTTGCTTCCCAGGGCCCCTCAGGCTGGGAGGACCCGTGTGCTCTGCCCCACCTTGGGGAGCCTCAGGAGGAGGAGGCCGCCTCTCACCATGGCCCACATGGCCCCCTTGGGACAGATGGAGGCAGAAGGGCCCCACTTTGCATCTCCTGATGGCTGAGGCCCCAGAGACCTGGGCCCGGGTGTCGGTGTGCCCCGGCCCTGCTGAGTGTCCGAGCTATCCCGAAGCCCACGTCAGACCCAGAACGTGACTTGGACATGAGGTCCTTGGTGATGCCTTTAACTGAGGGTCTTGAGATGAGGCCATCCAGGCCGAGGAGGGGCCCAGATCCCATGCCAGGTGCCTTTGTGAGACAGGAGGAAGGGACAGACTCAGAGAAGCCCGTGATGGTGGAGCCAGGGGATGCTGAAGCCCCAGACACTGGCAGCAGCAGGGAGGAGCATCCCCAGCAGCCTCAGGAGGAGCGGGGCCCTGAAGGCCTCGATGTTGGGCTGCGGCTTCTGGGATGTGAGAGAATAGATTGCCGCTGGGGAGCCCCCCATTGTTACAGCATCCTCAGGCCGCTACCTCATCTTTGCTCTCCTTGTGTGTTTCTCAAACACTCGGTGAGGGGCTGGGAATTTAGCTCAGTGGTTCCACCGCCTGCCTTGCAAGTGCAAGGTCCCGAGTTCCCTCCCCGGTACCAAAAAACAAAAAACCACGCAGTGATTTAAAATACTGGCTGGTGTTTCCTGTGTTCTGAGGACCTTGGGGACCGGAACTTCGCCTGCCCATGAGGCCGGGAGAAATCAGGTCCCCCTGCAGGGAGAAGGCTGGCCTTGTTCCCAGCAGCCACCTGGGGACGCCGTAGGTCCTGGCCCCAGCTGTCAGAGTCCCAGGCCAGCGGGGGCGCCTTGCGCCTCCAATTCCACCCAGACCCCTGATGGTGATGGGGAAGTTCCTGGGGTGGCTGATGTCCCCTAACCTGAGATGCTGCCCCTGCCCAGTCCCTCTGTGCCCCACAGGACCCACTCGCCCCAGGCTGAGGCTCCACAGTCCACAGTGGAGGAGCCCCGTGTGCACCCAGCTTTCTGCTGCCTCCCGTCAAGAGCTCAGCCGCCTGTCCTCCTTGTGTCCCCAGCGCGTGTGGGGCACTGCGGCATGTGGTTCTCCGCTGGTTTGGAGGGGTGTCCTGTGCCTGTGGGCAGCAGCCTTGCTCAGCTCCTGAGCCCCTGGAGCTGGACACCCTTTGGGGTCCAGCCCTGTGTCCCCCGCCACAGCCAGGTGAATTTTAGCTGGTCACTGCACCCAGGGTCTACATGGGTGGAAAAGCAGTGCTTTTTTTTTTTTTAAGTAAATTTTATTTTATTTTATCCCATCCCCCCTCAAGTGACAAAGCAATTCTGCCATCTCAGGGAGCCAGGTTCTGGGGAGGTGATGCAGGTCCCCTGGGGAGGTGCTGTGTGTCACCTCGCTCCCTCTTCTGCTGCCAGCGTGGAGAAGCCCTGGTGACCCAGCCCGTGTGCCTTTTAATTAGAGACGATTAAAGCCGTGCGACGGTGGCACTTTGGTGGCTTCCTTCGGAGGGAGCATGAGCCCATACGGAACCTGAAAAAAAGATAAAACCCAGTGAATTTTTAATAGTGATTATCTCCCAACACCCAGCGCGCAGCCATCTGGCAGGCCTGGCCCTCGGGAGCCGAGCGCGGGGAGGGTGGCCGCCGGGTGCTGTTGCCAGCCTGTACCCGCTTTGGGGCCGGTTGTGGGCTGTGACTCAGCCCGGCCATGTTGGAGGCCCTGGTGCAGCCCCAGCCAGCCTGACCCTCCCGTCAGGGCCTCTGCCCCAGCCAAGCCGGACAGGCGGTGGCCCTCAGCCTTCCTGGTGATGCTGATTCGCAGCCCTGGTGGCTCTTCCCGTGCCAAAGGCCAGCAGCATGGGTCTGATCAGCCAGTTGCAGCCTGATGTGGAGATGGCAGTGCTGACTGCGTCACTCGCTGCCCGTGGTGAGCTGCCCCTTGGGCTGGCAGGGTGGGCTGGGTGTGTGACCGTGATGCTGCTGGAAGACGCTCATGTGGCAATGCCTGTCCTGTCCTTACTGGAGGTGGAGCAGCACCCACCCTCTGCCCGAGTGCCAGGGACACCACCTGTGTGACACTCGGCATTTGTGGGGGTGCATGCGTGCATGCGTGTGTGTGCATTTGTGTGCACGTGTGCACGCGCGCATTTGTGTGCAATGTCCCTGCCGAGAACCAGGTAAGGGCGAGAGTTTCCCATGCCCGTGGCAACACCACAGAAGTGTGTGAGTGCTGCTGCAGCCCGGTGGTCCTGGAAGGAGGAGGCTGGGCCTAGGCTCCCTCCTGAGGCCTGGAGCCCCGCCCCAGCTCCGGGGCCGCAGGTGTCCTCCGCAGTGGCCACATCCCTCACTGTGCTGCCTCCATCTTCATGTGGCTTCCTGTATGCCTGTCCTCGCCAGCTGTTCTGTGTCCAAATTCCGTTCTTTTTCTTTTCTTCTTTTGTTTTTTGGTACCGGGGATCAAACTCAGGACTTTGCCCTTGCAGGGCTGTCAGTGGAACCACTGAGCTAAATCCCCAGCCCTCTTTTCTTCTTTTTATTTAATGCAGTGCTAAAATTGAACCCAGGGCTCCGCACATTTGAGGGAAGAGTTCTACCACTGAGCTACATCCCCAGATCTGTTTTTATTTTGAGACAGAGTCTTGCTAAATTACTAAATGGGCTTGAATTGAGATCCTCCTGCCTCGGCCTGTCTGGTGGCTGGGATTGTAGCTGTGCACCCCAGACACCCTCCTGTGAGCACACTTATTTTGAGTCGGGCCCACCACATTCCAGCGTAACCTCGTCTTTCCTAATTGTGTGCAGTGTTCCCACGTGAAGCCTTCTCCTGAGGTTCCGGGTACACGTGCGTTTGGGGACAGACGTGCAGAGCCCTGTGCAGTAGGTGACTGCTGAGAAGCCTGAGCCTTTGCGGGCACGTGGTCTCCCTGGGACTTGAGCTGGGACAGAACCGTCGGTCACTGCAGCCCTGGTCCGTGGTGGTGTCCGTGTGTCGACCACCCGCCGCCTCCGAGCCTCCTGCCTGTGTGGGCCATTTTCTGTCTTCTCTGTTCTTCTGGGAGGGAGGAACAGTGTCCTTCTGGGCCCAGGGACAGCATGGACGGGCCTCCCATCCCCATGGCAGCAGCCAGAGGTGAGGGAGGGCTGCCGTGGGCCTCGCCAGCCCAAGGGACTCACATTTCTTTTCTCTCCTCCGTGCTTTCCAGGTTGAAACCGTAGTGCCAGAGCTTGGGAGCCTGAGGCGTCTGAGATCCAGCGTGCTGAGCGCTGCTTCTCTGTGTCTCCCCAGTTCCTGTCCTGCCTGGGCCCTCGGCTAACCTTGACGCACACCAGGGTGCACACGGTGCTGATTCCACTTACTTTGCTGTTAATAGTTTTAAGATGGGGCCTCACTGTATTGCCCAGGCTGCCCTCAAACTTTTGGGCTCAAGAAATCCTCCTGCCTCAGCCTCCTGAGTAGCTGGGACTACAGGTGTTGCCAACACACTTGGTACAGTTTGCACTTTCAGAATGAGGAAACCAAGGCACAGAGCAGCCAAGTCACGTGCCAGGGCCCCGTCAGCTCTGGGTGTCAGAGCCGGAGTAGAGCCAGGCAGTTTGGCCCCAGAAACTCCCAGGTTACCCCCTTGCTGAGAAGCAGACGTTTGGATCGGGTGTGGGGAAATTCCGGGGCTGGCTGGCGAGGGGCCTTGGCCACTGACCAGGAGACTTCGGTAGCCTGGCCGGTGCCTGGGGTAGCCTGTACCCCCAGAGGCCTCTGTGCACTCTGCTTCTGACCCCCGGCCGGCGTGTGGCCTGACAGTCCCGCCTCCGCGCCACCTGGGCGGCACACGGCCCCATGCTATCCCTGCTCCGCATCTGACCACCCTCTCTGGGACTCGAGGGACCGTCTCAGGGTGTCATGTGTACAGCAGGTGCCATGGAGGGGCTGCCAGTGTCGCCCCTCCAGTGGGCGGCCGAGCCTCAGGCGGATGTAGCCTCTGACACCCCCCCCCGAAGTCCCCCCATTCCTGAAATAAGAACCGCAGAGCAGCTGGGCCCCTGCTCAGGGTCCCCCGGGAGTGGCTGCGTCGCCCCAGGCGCGTGCTGCGTCTGCTCGGGTGTCAGCCGCTTCTCAGCGGTCTGGCTCCCCTCGAGCTGCCTCAGGTTTCAGCAGC